TCGATATCCTGCTGGCCTGCCCTTCTTGGCGTGTGTGTGTGTGTGTGTGTCAAAATGCGTGGCGGGGCGGCACCAGGCTCCCACGTCTGCGAATCATGCCGGCAGCCAGGCAAAACATGGGGTGAGTCGGGCCGAAAACATGTTCCTGCTATATATACAGATGTATATATATAGATAGAGAGAGAGAGAGAGGAAATCTGGGCAGGACACCCGGACGCTTTTTAAGCTAAGCCTGGGCCAACTTCTTCTGTCGTTGAGACTGGAGGGGCGCACGCGCTCGAGAAACTGGGCCAGCTGTCCGGCAGGGTGGTTACGAAACGCTGGCCCAGATGTTCGGGAGGAGGCACCTTGTTTGAATTGGTTTTCGACTTCAAAAACCAGTCTCATGGCACTGGCGCGCCTGCGGGTAGCACGCCAGGTATGCGAAGCAGGCATGTAGCAACAGGAGGGTTCTTTCTGGAATTCTTTATGAATTCAAAAACCATGTTTTGAATTCGTAGACCAGTCTCCTAGCACTGACGCGCATGCGGGTGGCACGCCAGGTCTGCGAAGCAGGCATGTAGCAACCAGACGCTCGGCTGCAAAATGGTTCACATGGATTGCTTCACACCCGCACTCCGCGTCCTCCGTGGATCGCAGCCCGTGGCCCCGCTACCAGTAATTAGCTGGGTTGGACGGTGCTCGTGAAGGACGTGCAGCTCTCACCGGCTCTGCTTCGAGCCGCTCCGGAGCGGCGGAAGCGCGCGGAGCGAGACCGTACTCGAGCGGGGAGGGGAATGAATGAGGACGAGGCATGGACAGAGGCGAGGAAGAGGCGAGGACGATGGTGGCGGGGAAGAGGACAGGGGAGGGAGCAGGAGAACGGCGAACAGAAGCGACAGCGACGACGACGATGACGACAACGGGGACGACAACGACGGCAACGACGAGCCTGCCGATGTCCTTGGTGCAGCCCCCGGCCAGCGCAGAGGCCCGCGCCTTCGGCGGGTCCGAGCAGCTCAGCTTGTGCAGGAACTGCTGCTTGCGGATCATCCGCTCGGCCATGGCCCTCTTGTCCATCTTCGCCTCCAGGGAGAAGTCCGAGGAGGAGGAGGCCGAGAAGCCCGTCGAGACGACGGCGTCGTCTGAGAGCAGTACCTCCACCTCGCCGCTCCCTATGATGATGAGCTCGCTGGCCGCCTCGTCGCGCTTCCCGATGAGCTCGCCAGACCTGACGTCCCGCCGCTCGGCCGCCTGGACGAGACCGTGCACCTGCTCGTCCGTGAGCTTCACGAACGCCCGCAGGTTCGCGTTCTCCAGCAGGGCCCTGCGGATCAGCGTCTCCTGCTCCTCAGGGCAGGACGAGGTGCCGACACCGCTGCCTTCCCCTCGTATGGGACTCGTCGGCTCTCCAGGATCCCTGAGAGGCCCTCGTCGCCACAGCTGGATGCGCCCCGAAATTCGGGTCAGAAGGTTCCCCAGGAGAGGTCACTGGGAGTAGCAGTATCTGTATCGTTTGGTTTCCCCGGCTCCGGCGACTTCCTGGTCGCCTTCGCGGCGGCGCCGTCGGTGTCCCCACGGCCCTGGTAAAGCGCGGGGCGCTTCGGGAAGTGGAGCCAGTTCTTCAGGCCGGACTCCTGGAACGCGGACCGCGACATTGAGAGGGTCACGAGGTCGCCCTCCTCGGATTCTCCTGCGATTATGGTGGCGACGTTTGGGCGCGAGCTAAGCAGGGTATGGCCGCCGAAGTAGTCGCCCGACTTCAGTGTACATCTTAGCTCGGGGGGCTCCAAGGGGAACTCTTTCACGTACACCAGCGCCACTCCAGACTGGATCAGATACAGCGCCTTCCCTGTGTCGCCCTGGGAGACCAGCGTGGTGCCCGGCTTCCACTCTCGCGACGTCAGCGAGTTTGCCATCTTGGGGAGCTCCGAGCGAGGCAGGTGGTTCATGAGCAGGGGCACCTTTTTTAGGAACGCCACCTTGAACTCGAAGTCCTGGCGCTTCTGGTCGTGGTCCTCAAGCACCACCATCCCCCCTCGTCGTCCTCATCCCAGCTCCTCCCCCTCTCCACTCCACCCCCTCCGATTCCTTTCTCCTCCACTTCCTCCATCTCAGTCCTCCATCCTCATCCTGCTCTTCATCATGGTCCTCCTCCTCCTCCTCCTCCTCTTCCTCCTGGCTCCCGGTTCCTGGCTCCTAGCGGCGCTAATGTCGTTCAGACGCCGCCATCCTCCTTCTCCTCCTCACCATCCTCCTTCTCCCTCACTGTCCCTCCTCCTCCTCCTCCTCCTCCTCCTCCTCCTCCTCCTCCTCCTCCTCCTCCTCCTCGTCATCACAACCATCACTGACATCACCATTGGACATCATCATCATCAGCATCATCATCATCATCACCATCATCATGATCATTATCATCGCTACCTTGGGTGACCCAAAAGGGGGTCCAGCTGAGAGGGTGGTGCAATAGATGTGGGGCAATTTTGTATTGCAAATGCACTGCGCCGAAGAATTAGATTGCTTGTATTGCAAGTAATGTATTGCACGCGGGAATCCAGCAATACATTTGCGCCCCGGAATGTATTACACGCTCCAAAATTTACATATTGCAGCCGCACAAACCTAATACACGAAATCTATTGCACCACCCCCTTGTCGCTGGACGCGCTTTCGGGTCAACCCGAATATCACACTCGTCAAAACCATCATCATCGTGGTCAGCACCGTCATCATCATCAGCAGCATCATCATCAACTTCATCCTCATCATCACCATCATCATCAGAATCATCCTCGTCGTGATCATCAAAATCACCATCACCATCATCATTAACAACATCACCACCATGACCCTCACAATCGCCATCACTACCCCCACAAGCACCAGCACCGGCACCATCACCAACATCCCTATCATTAGCACCATCATCATCAACAACGTCACATCATCATGATCACCGAAACCATCAGCATAATCAGAATTAAGATGGTCACCATCATGATCATCATCATCAGCATCATCATCATCGAAATCGTCATCACCATCAATATTTCATCAGGACCACCATCAGCAGCAGCATCATCCTTATACTCACCACCACTATCGCCACCATCATCATCACCACCACCATCGTCATCATCATCACCAACAGCAAAATCCTCATCCTCGTCCTGACCACCACCATCATCATCATCGTCATCAGCAGCAGCAGCAGATCATCATCGTCATCATCATCAGCACCATCATCATCAGCAGCAGCATCATCATCATCAGCATCATCATCAGCATCATCATCAGCATCACCATCATCAGCATCAGCATCAGCATCGTCAGCATGATCATCACTATCAGCAGCAGCAGTATCATCACCAACAACATCAACATCAGCATCATTCATTACGCTCCTGCGTGCGCTTATCGCCTTGGCCATCCAGCACCTCCCCCTGCCTCCTCTCCCTCCCTCCCTCTCCGCATCTCCCCCCTCCTCCTCCTCCTCCTCCTCCTCCTCCTCCTCCTCCTCCTCCTCCTCCTCCTCCTCCTCCTCACTCTTCTTGACTGTTCTCCATCTCCCCCCCTTCCTCCATCCCGTTCCGTCTCCCCCCCCTTCACCTCATCGCCCCCCGCCCTCGGGTGATGCCAGAGAGTGCCTCTAGCCCGAGGTGCCCCCACATTTTTCGCGCGCCAGTCTGCTGCCAAGGTGGGCCCCGTGGGCCTCGTGAGGGGTGCTCGGGGGGCCCAGAGGGGGGGGGCCTCCCTGGAAATCCTGGGAACCTCCTCCCCCCTCCTCCTCCTCCTCCTCCTCCTCCGCCGCCGCCGCCGCCGCCGCCGCCTGCTCCTCCTCCTCCTCCTCCTCCTCCTCCTCCTTCTCCTCCTCCTCCTCCTCCTCCTCCTCCTCCTCCTCCTCCTCCTCCTCCTCCTCCTGGGGAGCCCCTCGGGCCAGGGACACGTCTGGCAACACCCGACCCCCCCCCCGGATCTTCCCCACGAACGCCCGCCGCGGGTCCTCCGGCCCCCGGAGCACGGACAGGAGGCCGCCGAGGCACCCACAGGACGTGGGGCCGCGCATTCTGGGCCCGCCCGCGCGGCCGTCGGCCTGGCGCGCCCGCCTGACGAGGAGCCGCCCTCCCCGCGTCGTCGCCCTCGCTGTCTTCGTCGCCCTCCTCGCCGCCCTCTTCGTCGCCCTCTTCGGCGACGCTACCTCGTCGTCGTCGTCGTCGTCGTCGCCGTCGCCATCGTCGTCGCCATCGTCGTCGTCGTCGTCGTCGTCGTCGTCGTCGTCGTCGTCGTCGTCGTCGTCGGCGTCGTCGGCGTCGTCGCTGCTGTTGGGGGAGAGCATGCAGCGAGGGACGGGGCACCAGCAGCGAGGGGCAGGGAGGAGCGGAGGCGCTGGAGGGGGGAGGAGGGGCTCGAGAGGCGGAGGCGACGAGAGCGTGACCGCAGGCCGCTGGCGATGTGCTGGGGCGCGGGCACAGGTGGGCGACGCGCAGAATTGGGTCGGGCGTGTCCCTACAGGCGGACTTTAATCCTTGCCTTTTTGGGGAAAAATGACACAGCTCAAAAAAGACGCAACAAGAATCAAACATGGTAAATAAATCGCCAAAAATAACAAAACTCAGAGACAATACGCCACAATAATCAAACATAGTAAAACAAATCGTCCCCTGACCATTTTTTGACAATTTATGAAGATTCCTCCTGTAGAGGGACATGCCCGACTTAAGCGCAGACAGCGCAGAAGGGGGGTAGGGGGAAGGGTGGAAGGCATCTTAGAAGGAGGCCGCTTCTTAAAGGCGCCGGCCCTGCATCTCTGTAGAGAGGGGGTTGCTTCTAAGAAGCCTCCCCCCTCTCCCATAACCCCCCTTTTCTGCGTGTGGCCGATCAGGATGGCTGAGCAGCAGCAGCAGCAGCAGCAGCAGCAGCAGCAGCAGCAGCAGCAGCAGCAGCAGCAGCAGCAGCAGCAGAGAGGAGCAGGTAGGAGCAAGGAGAGAGGCAGGGGTGTGGGGGGGGAGACGGGGAGGAGGAGGAGGAGGAGGAGGAGGAGGAGGAGGAGGAGGAGGAGGAGGAGGAGGAGGAGGAGGAGGAGGAGGAGGAGGAGGAGAAGCGGCAGGACCAGATGCTTCGCCTCCGCAGGGCGGAGTCCGTGCAGCGCACAGGAAGCAGCAGAGCGCGCGGAGGAGGAGGAAGAGGAGGAGGCGGAGGAGGGAAACAGCAGTGCTTCGTAGCAGCAGCAGGGAGAGGAGCAGCAGCAGCAGGGAGAAGCGAAGGCCAATGAGCAAGGAAGACGAGCAGCAGCGTCCGCGAGAGGCAGAGAGGAGGAGCCGCGGACGAGCAACGAGGCCACGAAGGCAGAGGCGGAGGACGCCGCAAGAGAGGAGCGGCCGCGGCCCGAACTGGCCGAGTTGGCCGGCGCAGGGTGACAGTCCGAAGGGCCAGCTCCTCTCGCCGAGGAGTGTTCGCTGCGTCGCGCGCGCGCAAAGGAGGGCCCAGGCAGCGAGGCGGCGCGGTCGCCGCCGTCGGCGAGGAGGAAGGGATGCGAGCCGACGCCCGGTCGCGCGCGCTGCGCCGCGCCGCGCGGTGCGACCTTCGGGGCCTAAGAGAGCACACGTCACGGCTCCAGCAGAGCCACGGTGCGCGCAGCTAGAATACTCCATGCCCTGCAGTTTGGTTTGTTTCATCGCTCTCCCTCTCTCTTCCCGTCTATCCCTCTGGCGTCTTCGTCGTTTCTCGGTGGCTTTCCAACGTCGGGGTGCCTTCCAGCAGCTGCGCCTCGTCGAGGGCGTTCCAGGGGTGTCTGGGTCTTCCCGGACGGCCGCCGGAGAGCCGAGTTATCATTCGAAAACCACCAGGGGATAGGGGGGATTTCGGGGCGGCCAAAAGGGGGGTGATGACAACTGGGGGTGAATCTCATGGCAGAGCAATGAGATATCCCAGGCCTCGTGGCCCCACCTTCTTTTTTTTCCTCTTCTTCTTCTTCTCATTATCATTATTAATATGATTATTGTTATTATTACTATTATTATTATTATTAGTAGTATTACGATTAGTATTAGTATTATTATTATTATTATTAGTAGTATTATTATTACTATTATTATTATTATTATTATTTTATTAGTGTTGTTATTAGAATCATCATTAGTATTCGTCTTATTATTAGTATGATTATAATTAATACTAATAATAATAAGAAGAAGAAGAATCACAATAATAGTACTAAATAATAATACTAATAATAAAAATATTGTTATGATTAATAATCGTATGATTATTATTATTACCATCAGAATTATTATTAGTATTAATATTGGTTGTCTTCTTCTTATTATTATTTGTTATTATTATTCCTCTTCTTTTTCTTATTTCAAGACGTCCCTCGGCAGCTACCTCGCGCACGGAACGCTCGAATCCGCGAGGAGCATCGGGAACTGCGCAAGGCGACGACGCCAGCTGCCTGGAACAGCCCTGTTGAGATGGTTCGGAGCTAGGACTCCGCACGCGTGGACCAACAAACTGGATCGGCGCGCTCCAGGCGCGCGCCGCGGCTCCGACACAGAGCCCTCCAGAGCGGGCGCGTTAGGATCCGACGTTCCTCCATCGGACAAGGCAGCGCGTTCGCGGGCTCGTGGCAGGGCGGCATACCGAGAAGACACGTTTGGAGATGGGTTCCTCGCTCGCGTCGGGCCCGCGTTCTTCGCGGCGTCTTCATCGGGGCTCCAACGGTGCAGTCTGCCTTCGCCGAGAAGGGGAAACGGACGGGGGGAGGAGAAGGAACCGGAGGAGGATCTGAATCGGGAGGGGGACCAAGAGGAGCAGTCATCCAATGGCCCCCACCCCTGGTCCTCAGAATCGCTGGCCGATCCTGATGATCGATCGATCAGGCACAAAGGCAATGACTCTCATCTGACCCCCCCCCTATCCCTGGCGCTCAGATCCGTCGACAGCTAGTGAAGCAGAGGCGTGGAAGGAGGAGGAGGAGGAGAAGGAGGAGGAGGAGGCGGAGGAGGTGGAGGAGGAGGAGGAAGAGGAGGAGGAGGAGGAGGGGGAGGAGAAGGAGGAGGAGATCCGTCGACAGCTTCCGAAGCAGAGGCGCGGGGGTGATGAGCTCAACCAGCCACTTTGTCGTGAGGGCCTATCCCAACGACGATCTGTCGAGTTGGGGGTGTCGAAGCCGATGGGTCCCCCACGTGACTTGGGCAAGGCACGCAACTGCACCACGCAGCGACCTCATTGGCAGGAACGATCGACCGACCGACCGAGGACAGGCGGAGAAAAGAGCGGCAAACGAAGGATGAGGAGGAGTCGGGGTACCCACGAAGAGACGCGAAGAGGGCAAGCGGACAAGAAGCGAGAAGAAGGCAAAGAGTTCGCTCCCATCGCCTCGCCCGCACCCGCCGCGCGCTATCGGAAGTCAGTCGGAGACGCGCTCCAAGTGGCTGGACTCGTAGACGCGCTCCAGGTAGCAGTGCTCGTTGAGGATGGAAACCTTTTCGATGAGCTGATCTCGGAGATGGATATGAAGGCGACGGTGCTGGCGGCATCGCGGCTGCCACGGAGTCCACGCACTGCAGATGTTCCGCGATGGACCCGAACATGTACGGCAATGGCTTGGATCTGAAGGCGTGCGAGGCCAGCAGCTTCGAGAACTCGTCGACGCAGCTGTCGGACTGGATGCTTGCAGCGAGTCATCGAAATAGCCGTTCAGGGGATGCAGCGGCCCCAGGGAGGCCTCGAAATTCCTGTCTGCGAGGTTCGCGCGGTGGGCCTCCAGAGAGGCAATCCGCAGCTCGATATCATCGAACTTGTCGTGGTACTGGTCGCTGTACTTCGTGAGGTCCGACTGCCGCTGAGACCTGAGCCGACTGAAGTCCATCCATCTCGTTCATGTGGTTGTGCGCTGCAGTGAGGGACTTCATGGTGTCAATGATGGTCCTCATGGCTTCCGTGTTGTTGTCCGGCTGCCGCAAAGCCTTGAGCCCATCAGTGTCCGTTCCCATCACGTTGATGCTCTTGTGCGCTGCGGCAATGGACGTGTGGGTGGTCGCAAACATCGCTTTCGTGTTGACGGCGATGGTCTTCAGAGCTTCCGTGTTGTTGTCCAGGAGCATCTAGGTCATGTTGGAGAGCTGCGCCGCGAGCAGCTCGAGCGTAATGAACTTATTCGTGACCTGGGAGAGGGTCTCGTCGATCTTCGCCGTGAGCGAGTGCGCAGGTGCCAGCATGGATTCGTCCAGCTCGGTGCGCGTGACGAGGGAGCGCATGGTGCGTTGGATCTTTCCATCAATCTGCTTGGCCATCGAGCGCTCGGCGTCCCGCATCTTTTCCGCGACCATGGAGCTCAGCGAGTTCTTGCGTGCGGAGTTGGTCTCGTCGTCCGCCCAGGCGTCGCACGTAGCAGGCGAGGAGGGCGAACCGTGCGACAACAGTCTTGAGCCAGAGCGGCGTGAGCACCCCGACGACAAGGAAGCAGAGGCCGGATCAGTGGAGACGACCTGGTGCGTGGAGGCGACTGTGGAGTCGGAGGTGACTTCGGGGAAGCGCTCGTCGAAGCTGTCGGCCCAGAGGATGCGCTTCGCAGGCGTGTTGTTATTCTTGTCGGCGTTGTGCAAGACAGCGCCTCCATGTGCAGCTGCAGGACGCGGGTCAGGGTGAGCGTCGGGCGGAAGGACACCACCTCCGAGTTCATCATTGTCACGTGAGGCTGCCCATGCCGAACGTGTTGTTGCTGTGGGTGCTGCGGGGTGGTAGTGCTTGGCGTGGTCAACGCGCTCGAGAACGCGCCTCGCGGACTTGTAGTCGGTCTGGCCCAGCGCGCCCAGCCTCCACGAGCGGTCCGTCGTCGTGGACTCGCCTCGCTTCCAGTCCAGGTAGCCTTGAAGCTCTTTGCCTCGAGCCATCGCCTTGACCGCGGTGTGGTCCTCGGCGGCGCACTCCATGGAGCGGCGACCCGGGCCGGAATGGACAGCACGATAATGAGCGTCACGAAGGCGTCGTCGTTCTTGTTCGGCTGTGAGCATGCGCTGCTGGGTGAGCGCCTGTACGTAAGAGCGGCGACCAGTCATACCGCGTGTAGCCCACGCGCATGGTGGGGAGGAAGAACGAGCATGTAGATGAAGTCCCACTCCAAGGTGGCAGAAGAACGCGATGCAGAGGTGCGTCAGCATCCAGCATGCGCCATGGCGAGGAAGCCCGCTCGCGGCGGGAGCACGCGGCCAGCTGGGGAGCGCGGGTCCCAGGAGCTCTTGAGCCAAAGTGGCTACGGGGGAGAAGGAGGAGAAGGAGGAGGAGGAGAGCGGTAGCAGGAAGAGGAGAAAGAGGAGGAGGAGGACCAGTGCAAAACCAAGAGTCATCAACGATGTTGGAATTCACCCTCCCTCCAAGCTCCCTCTTCACAGGACCCCACAACGGTTCATTTACATTGAGGGAAGTTCCTCGTTGGGAGACAACCGTTGGAAAATCCTGAAGCATGCCACTACATTGTTCTCGGGATTCAACGCCACGTATCTACCTGACTGCTGCGTCTTGACGATCCGGAATCGTGCCAGGTCGCCTTTTTTTGACTTCAACACAACGAATCAACATAACTGTTGCACCCGCACAATTCTGAATCCATTCAGAACACAATTTCTGGCACGCTGATCCTAGGCATCCGTGGAACTGTTGCAATGTTTGAAGACGAATGAGCGCGGCGCTAAGGTGAGAACCACATTTTAAAAAGGAGCCGCCCTCAATCCGGGAAGGTCTTGCAACTTTGAAATACGTATGTGCGCGGTGCTAGGGCGAGAGGCGCATTTGAAAACCACCCGCCCTCAATCCGTGAGGCTCTTGCAAATGTGTGGAACGAATGTACGCGGCGCTAAGGCGAGAACCACATTTTGAAAACGACCCGCCCTCAACCCGTGAAGCTCTTCCACTTTTGTCAAAGGAATGCGCGCGGCATTAGGGCGAGAGCCACATTTTGAAAACCACCCGCCCTCACGCCGTGAAGCTCTTGCAAATATTTAAAACGAATGAGCGCGGCGCTAAGGCGAGAGCCACGTAATGAAAACCACCCGCTCTCAACACGTGAGTGGACGAACAATTAAAGATAAACCAAACATATTCAAAAATAATCAAGAAGTGCTGAAAAAATCCCCATGACTATTTTTGACTAATTTTGAATATTCCTCCTGTAGAGAGACAGGCCCGACTTAACGTCAGCCTCTGCCGAAACTCCTCCCTCTCCTCATCCCATCTGGAGCGAAGATCCTCCCTGCCTGTCCCATGCCCCTCTCCCCCTCGCCGTCCGTCCGACGAAATCGTTCCCCCTCTCCTCTCCCAATACCCCCCCCATCACGAGGCGACAGGAAATACCGACGCAACTACTCCCCGGACCTATCCCTGGGTGCGCTCTGGCCAGCACTTCGAGGAGAATCCAGCCGTGGCGGCGAGGGCTCTCCCGGACGAGCAGCGGCATCGGCGCAGTCCAAACTGATAGCAGGGACGCGCGAGAAGGATGCAGGCCTCTTGGACGCCCCAGTCGAGGCTCTTCTAGCGAGGTGGCCGTCGAGGGTGGATAAGGACGGACGGACGGAGGCAAGGATTAGGTCGGGCATGTCTTCCTACAGGCGGATTTACAATAAAACAAAAATTCAACTAATCAAGAAGCGCTCCCAAATAGCAATACGCAGTCGAAACATCGCCCTCTGACTTGACTGTTTTTCCTACTCTTGAATAAAAACATCCTCCTATGGGAGGACATGCCCGACTCAAGGCAAGGATGCAAGAGGTGCCCCAGGGAAGTCGCTCGTCCTTGCTGTCGGCCTCGGCTGCCCCTCCTCAAACGTCCTCCGACCTGCTGCTCGCTCCACCCGCGGCACAGAGCTCCCGCCCCCCTCCCTTGCGGTGGCCCTGCGTCCCGCATCCGTGCCCCCCGGAGGCCGAAACGGAGGAAGCACGCCCAGGTGGAGCGACTCATAACGTCGGAGATCTGTGCCTTCCTCCTCAGACCTCTCAGGGCGCGCACCAGGAGGGTTAGGGGGGAGGGGGGGAAGGCTTCGTGGGAGGAGGCTGCTTCCTGGAAGCGGCCTCCTTCTGAGAAGCCCTCCCCCCCCTCCCCACTGGCCCTCCTCCGCGCGAGGCCGAACATCGTCGGAGAGGGACCCCTTGGCAGGAGCGTCTGGCCTCCGGTGCGCGGCTTCACAAGGGGGGCGCGGGGGGGGCCCAACCCGAGCGCGCAGCCCGCCGCTGCCGCCTCGCGCTCCACCACCTGGGGACCCCTGGCGCGTGCCCGCACAGGGCCACTCCGGCCAGAGGTCACTTCCACGTGCAGCCGGTCTGCGTCGTCCTCCTCCGCTCGGGCGGGTGGTACTCGCCATCGCTCGGACGTCCATTCCCCGTGCCTTCTTCGACTCCGTGCGTGTTTTTGTTGGCTCGACGGTCCAGGATGCGCCTCGATGGCCCTCGCCGAGGAACAAACATGCACACGTCCGAGCGATGCCAGGGGCACTGGGGGTGTGACCTACATAAGGGGGCCAAGGGAAGGGTCAGGTCGGGCATGTGGTCCTGCGGGCGGATGTTTTGGAGCAGAGCAACGAAAAGATACAAAACAAAGACCCAACAACAACAACAAATAGTCGAACAATCCCCCTACAGGCGGATTTGGGAGGGAAACGCTGAAAACTAAGCTAAAACACGCATCACAACATAAAAAAAGATAGTCGGAACATCGTCCTACGACTATTTGTTTTGAACTATTCGGGAAGACTCCTCCTGTGGGAGGAAATGCCCGACGTCAGGAGAGCGTCCCAAAAAGGGGGCCCGTTATCAGGGGCCCCCGCCGGCGAGGGGCCGGCGAGGGGCCGCGGGAGCCAGCAGGGGCCTCCAAAGGGGCCCAAAAGGGGCCCCTGAAGGGCCCCTGCCTGATTTTGACTGTAAAACGGGCCCCTGCAGGGCCCCCGTAGGGCCCTTTTTTTTCTGCAGCTGAGCCAAATTGCTTCCCCGAGGCGAACGTCGAAACGCGTGCGTGGACAGACAAGACTTGCGGCCCAGACTGCCCATGCTTTCCTGTAGCGCACACGCGGTCCATTGACGTCTCGTGGTCCGAATTCAGCGCAGACGGCACACGTCGCTGCTGCTGCCCTTGACCCCCACCAGAAAAAGGACCCCGAATCCTTTGGGAGGGGGCCTGAGTAGGAGGGCCGCGCACGACGTCGGGGGTCGGGGCTCCTTTCGTCTTCTGCAGCTACGTCACGAACCACACCGCCAGTACTTCCGTTCATAGTATCCCGAAGGCAGGGACGGGGACCTCGGTGAGGCCACGTCTTCCCTGTGTTTTGCAGGCTAGAGGCTCTTGTCTTCTCACCAATGTTCTGCACCCCCCCCGTGCAGGTCCCCCCCCCCCCCCGGGTACCACCCGCACGACCCGCCCTCTCGCCCGGCCCGAGAGCATCGCGGGCCCGGCCTGCCGGCCGCGCCCGCGCCCGGGAGAGGCCGCCGCCAGAGCGCGGCAGCGAGGGCGCAGCGGCCGAGCCGCCCGCGCCAGGCCGCCAGAGGTGGGGGGCAACGACGGCGGGGGCGGGGGGGCAGCTCCAAAGGGGGGGGGAGGCATCGGGCTGGAAATCGGCGATGCATCATAAAGCAGGCAATTCGCTAGGAAGCAGACAATGTCCCCGACCAGCGAAGCCCTCTGAGCGTCGATCAAAAGCGGGTCTCACGCGAGATGGCACAGCGACTTTGCGCCGCAGCCTACGCGGGCTGCCAGCGCGGCACACCACAATGACGTGCGTGCGACCTTGCGCTGGCAACTTACGCGCCAATGTCGGAGAAGCCGACCCGGCTGCGTCTATCATTTAGTAAACGCACACAAGGCAAACATCGAACAGGACAGGGTTGTTTAGTAAACGCCCGGGTCCGGTTAGTGAGCGCCAGTTACCAGGGTCGGGGTGGTTCTTCCTCCCTCGATGCATCGCCGATGGATCGGCGACGGGCTCCTGATAGCGAATATCTGCACGTTCCTGCGGGGTGGGGCTATCAGACCCCTGCCGGCGATAAATCGGCGACTGGGTGTCGAAGCATCCCCTCTGAGCCTATCATCGGGGGCATCCAAGATCGGGGGCGGCCAAGAGGGCGCGTCCAAGAGGGGGGGCGTCCAAGAGGGGGGGCGCAAATCATAGCCGGCGGCATGTGCGCGGCCTAGGAGGGGCCAGAAGACGTATTGAAATAAGAAGAGGCGCCATGAGATCTTTCGGAGATATCATGGCCCCCGCCATGATATCCACCCCCTCCTAGTGATCACCCCCTTCTTTGCCGTCCCCGACAACAGGGGGCGTGCAAGAGCGGAGTTCGCAAATCATGGCCCGAGGCGCACGAGCGGCTCAGGTGGAGGCCGAGGGACGTCTTGAAAGAAGAGGATGGGGCCACGAGGTCTGGGAGATCTCATGGCCCCCGCCATACTTCCCCCCTTCTCATCACCCCCCTCTCGGCCGCCCCAATAATCCCTTCCCTGTCCCCCCAATGGTTTTCGAGTGATCACTCGGCGCTCTGGCGGCCGCTCGAAGAAATCGGGGCACCCCCGGAACGCCCTCGACGAGGCGCAGCTGCGGGAAGAGGCCCCCCCGAGGCTGAAACAAGCCGCCAGGCAACGACGAACACGCCCGAGGACCTCGAAGACCCCGAGCCCTCGACGCCTCGACGCCTCGTCGGTCCCACGAAGCTTAGGTCGGGCGTGTCCTCCCACAGGCGAAATTCTGGACGAAAACTAAGAAGAGATTCCAAAACAGATCCCCGCATGGTCAAACATAGTCAAGCCATCGCCCCCGGACGATTTGTATGACTATGTTGAAATGTATCCCTCCTCGGGAGGAACGGGCCCGACTTGACACTAAGACCCGCCCCCCCTAAACTGGCCATCGCTCGGACGTCCATTTCCTGTGCTTTCTTTCGGTTTCGTGCGCGGCAGCTTCGCGAAATGATCAGGGATGCTCCTCGATGGTCCTCGCCGAAGGAAAACTGCACACGTCCGAGCGATGTCCCCCGCATCGTTGCCCTTGCAGCGGCCGCCGCCCCGCACGGCGAGCGCCGCGCCGCGCCGCGCAATGCGCGCCCCGCTGGCCGCGCGGCCGCGCGGGAGCGCCGCGCGGCCCGACGCCCCTCGGCGGCAGCGGGCGCTCGGCGCCGGGCGCGGGGTGCGCGCCGGGCGCGGCGGCCCGCGCCCCTCCGTGCCGCGCCGCGCCGCGCTGGCGCCGGCTCCCCCGGGGGGGGGCGGGCGCCCTCGAGGGGGGAAACGGCTGGGCACGAGGGGAGGGCGCCTGCTCCTCCTCCGCCTCCTCCGACTCCTCCTCCTCCTCCTCCTCCTCTCCTCCTCCTCCTCCTCCTCCTCCTCCTCCTCCTCCTCCTCCTCCTCGTCCTCCTCCTCCTGAGCCCGACATGGCCCTTATCTCAGCGTCTTGTCTGCGGGGCTCCTCCGTGCACCGAGCAGCCCCCGCCAGCCTTCTTGGCCTCGAGAGGGGGGGAGCGGCTGGGCACACGGGGGGGAGGGCGGGGCACGGAGCGGGGCTCACAGGCGAGGATGCCCGGAGGCCCATGGGCACACCAACAGACAGGCACACGAAACCCAGGACCTGCCCCCTACCTTTCCCATGTCGTCTGGGCTTCCGTCGTTTTCACATGTCGTCTGCGGGCGGCAGCGCTTCCGCGCGCCGGGGCACGCCCCACCGGGCGACGGGGTCGGAGAGCGCCGCCGAGCGGCGCTTCCGCCAGGCAGCGCTTCCGCCCAGACAGGGCGAGGGCGGGCGGCGCACGTGCAGGTGCGCGCCGGCTGGTCGCCGCTTCTATAGAAGATGCAGCCGCCGGGGCGTGCGCGGAACGGGCGGGGATCGGATGCTGCCCAGATCTTAGTGGGCCCTGGAAACGACAAGGCCGTTTTTTTACCGTCTAGCCGTTTTTGTTACCAGTTCTGACGCCGTTCTGTTACCGGTTCCGTCGCCGTTATCTTTACCGGTGCCGGCTCCGGTCCCAATCCTGGCGCAGTTGTTGTTCCCGTTTCTGGTCGCCGTTTTCGTTGCCGTTCCCAGTTTCAAGAAACACTTTTTCGGGAACGGTGACAAAACGGCTCCGCCGTTTCCAGGGCCCATTCAGGCCCAGATCTCCGGCGATGTGCCCTTGTTACTCCTGGCGTGTTTCGCAGGCTTCGACCTCGTGCGGAGCCGAACATGCGAGGATCGGACCCTGCCCAGGTCTTCTCCGGCGATGTGATCTTGTCACTCCTGGAGATTTTCGCAGGCTTCGGCCTCGTGTTGAGCCGAGCATGCGAGGATCGGATCCTGCCCGGATCTCCGACGATGTAACCTTGTCACTCCTGGCATGTTTCGCAGGCTTCGGCCTCGTGTGGAGCCGAGCATGCGAGGATCGGACCCTGACCAGATCGTCTCCGGCGAAGTGATCTTGTCACTCCTGGCGATCTTCGCAGATTCCGACCTCATGGTGCGCCTCACTTCGAGCGTCGCGCTGCGCGACGTTCGGCTTACCTTCGCTCCAGCTCGCGCCGTCTCCGGAGAAGAATACTTCCCTGGCCTGGGCCGCAGAGCTCGATGACCCCCGCGCCCACGCGGACGTCAGCCAGGCTGGAGAATTGTTTGAGGTCCTCGAGCATTGAAAGTAAATTTCCGTGGCAACTCATGGGAGCCTCCCACACTATCTTGTCTGTTCGTGCGAATCGACGCTAATCGACGCTAAGTCGGCGCTAATAGATGCCAAGTCGGCGCCGATCGACGCTAGATCGACGCTCGTCGACGGTAGCCGACGCTAGATCGGCGCTAACTCATCGACCCCCGGACGCTAATCGATGCCAGTGGACGCTAAAGACAGAATTGCGAGGGTACACAAATCTCCCATGTCTTGCTACCGAATGCACCCGCTTGCGCCTGCCGTCCGCCTCCCCTTGGGTCTCGTCTTCCCCGCCCCCGTGGTCGCTCCCCCTTTTCCCGCCCCCTTTCGGCCCCCTCCCGGCTGCCCTCCCAGCGAGTCGGGTCGCGTGGCCCCCTGATTGTAGGTGAACACTTTCTGTCCCCGCGGCGTGAATTGGGCCGGCCCGCGCTCCTTCCGCTCCCCGATGGATTCTAACTCCGCTGCTCCTCTGAGCGCGTGGCCGCGACGCCAAAAAGTCAGTGTGGGAGTGTGCGTGTGTGGCGTGTGTGTGTGGCGCGTGGTGTGCGTGTGTGGCGAAGTGATCATGAGTGTAAGTGAGCACGGCATGCACCGATGCCAATACACAAGACGGAGCCAAGCCTGCCAAAAGAGCCCGGGCTGGCACCTGTCGGGGACCTCCGAGAGCCGACGGGTCTGCGCGCAGAAGGGCCGCGGCGCGGCCGCTCCAAGAAACGCTCCGACAGCGCTCCAAAACGCTCTTGGAGCGACCTCCTCCTGATACTCCTCCTCCTCCTCCTCCTCCTCCTCCTCCTCCTCCTCCTCCTCCCTTTCCTCCTCCTCCTCCTCCTCCTCCTCCTCCCCTCTCTCCTCCTCCTCCCTCCTCCTCTCCTCCTCCTCCTCCTTCCTCCTCCTCCTCCTCCTCCTCTCACTCCTCCTCCTCCTCCTCCTTCCTCCTGCTTCTCTCCTCCTCCTCCTCTCTCCTCCGCCCCCCCCTCCTCCAGCTCTCCTCCTCCTCCTCCTCCTCCTCCTCCTCCTCCTCCTCCTCCTCCTCTTCCTCCTCGAGCCTCCTTCTCCTCCCCCTCCTCCTCCCCCCTCTCCTCCTGCTCGAGGCCGCGGAAGCCAAGTGGTTCACGGAGCAGGTGGCGCGTCTGGGCGACGACGGGCTCGTCTCCCTCGCAGACCTGCTGCCCCTCCGGCAGCCCTGGCCGCAGGCACTCCGCTGGGCGCCGTGGGGCCGCACCATGCGGCGCTTCCACCGCGCCTGGTCCGCGGCGCGGGTTTCGAACGACGCCCCCACTTGGACGCGGGGGCTGCCGCCGCCCCCGCCCGAGGCGCCCTGCCCGCTGCGCGGGGGCGTCGAATCGGGCCTCCAGCATCTCCTGGCCACCTGCTCGGCCGTCGCCGGGCCGCGCCAGGAAGTGTGCTCCTGCCAGCCGCCCACGCCATCAGGGCTGCCGGCGTGGGCCCTCGGCGACGCGGCGGACGTGCGCGAGCTGGAGGCGAAGGTGAGGTTCGTCGGCGCCATCGCGGCTGCAGTGGTGCACGCCTTGAGGGACGAGCCAGTGTAAAAAAGGCCGCCCCCCCCCCCCCGCCGGACCCTCTCGGACGCCGCCCGGCGGCGGGTCGGAGGCCATTTTGGTGCGAATGTCCCGAGCGGTTTTTTGCCGAGTTCTTGGTAACTCGGCAAAAAATCGCCCGTTACTTCCTGCGCCAAAAGGGCGCCTGGCCGCCTCCCCGGCGGGCGTCGGGGCGGGTTCGGGGATCGCGTCGGGGGTGCCAGGGCCGTCGTCGGGGGGGCTTCGTGGGGGCCGCGGGGGACGTGGTGGCCTTGCGCGGCTACGGGCCAACGCCTGCGCGGCGCGGCCCGGCGGGGGCGGGCCCACCCTCCTCCTCTCGC